CCCAACTGCTCAATACCCTGTACACCACAAGCTGGTGGAATAGGTTTCTTCCTCTAACCCGCACACATTGATTCAAAGATTCCAACTTTCTGCCTGCAATTCATCGCAAAAGCAAAGCCTGACTATGTAAACCAAGATCAGAAAAGAAAAGATCCGACGAAAAGCCGGCTTTGGTCGGTGGAATCCGAACATTATCATGATTTTGGGGGCGGAACCTGGAACCTTGGAGATTTTGCAAACGAGCCAAGCTTAAAGGTAAATAAATATACATATATATGATTGTGCCGGCTGGGGTTTCGGGAAATCTCGCGAAAAACTTTTGCATACAACTTTTTTATTTGCCAGCCGCTCGGCCTCGAGCCCATTTTCCAAAGAACTTTGTTAAAATTTTCATTTGAGGGGGAAAATCTTACCCCGGGAAAATGATTTGAGAAGCTTCTTCGATTCTAAGATTTGTTGGGCTAAGTTTAAGTTTTGTCCGATTTGATTCAAACTTATTTTGAAATCTCCGCGTTTTTGCTAAATTCCATTCACAACAGTGGAAAATTGGCGGAAAACGCTTAAAAATCATTTTCGTTCGTGGGTGCCGAAAGTGGGTCAAAGTTTTAATGGACGAAAGTTTACTTAACAACTTTTTACATACATATTTTGATATGGAATTGTAGATCAAGATGGGTAAATTTGTATTTTCCACGGGCACAAAACCTACCACAGGCAAGGCCCGGCCCCGTTAGAATATATACAATTGTATATCTTTATTGGATATTGTGTATCGGGTCGTCTATCCATCTGTGCTGCTACAGGATTGGTGCTTGGCGTATGGATATATTTAAATATATTTTATATATCATCACGACATTCATGTAACTTGTCAAAGATACGATTTTCTACCGCTCGATCAAGTCGATTCACTATATCATATATAAGTGTCATGGGACCTATTGAGTTTTCCGAGACTCGGACTCAGAGTGTGGGCAGTATGCAGGTGATATGGCAACAGGTGCTCAGATGGAATACTTACCAGGCAGGGCAGATCGTTGCAGTTGTGGTTGGTGCCGCGCAGGCAACCGTTCTCGCCGTAGCCGTTGCCCACCATTCCGAGGGGACAGCTGCAGATGATCGTATTGGAAATCTCCGAGCAGATGGCAGCCGGATGGCAGAGGGAGGCGCGCTGTGCACAGCTGGTGAGGCCAACGGCATTTGGGCTGCCGTTGGGCGAGTCCCCGTTGCTGTTGCTGTTGCTGTTGCGCTGGCAGTTGCGTCCGTCGCCCGTCCAGCCGACGGGGCACTCGCCGCAGTGGCTGGAGCCGTAGCTGTTGATGCACTCCACCCGCGGGCTGAGGCTGCAGCCGCCGTTGTTGGTCTCGCATTCGTTAATGTCCCGGCAGCTGACACCGTTGCCGGTCAGGCCCGGCGCACAGGGCGCACACGTAAAGCTGCCGGGCAAATTGATGCAATTGGTGGAGCAGGGCGTATGCGCGGCCGCCGTGCACTCGTCTATATCCTCGGTGCAGGTGGGCGTCAGTCCATTGCTGCGCCAGCCGGGCTCACAGATGCACCGATAGCCTAGCGCATCGCTGCTGGGCACACAGCTGCCATGTCCGCACAGCTCCCAGGTGCTTGCCGCGGCACAGTCCGTTTTCCGTTGGCTGCAGTGCATCCCGTGCCAGCCGGGCGCACACATGCACGAAAACGAGCCAAACTGATTCACGCACTGGCCTCCATTCTGGCAGCCCAGATCTGTGCCCTCCAGCAGCGCACACTCGTTCACATCCCGCTCGCACCTGCTGCCCTGTAGAAAGCCAAAAACGGAGACCAGCTCTCAGCATCTGCATCTGCATCTGCATCTGACATTTAGACGCCGCCCCCCCTAAACGCCCCATGCCTTACCTCAAAGGCAGCGCCGCACTGACAACGATAGCCGTTGTAGGTGTTAAAGCAGGTGCCGCCGTTCTCGCAGGGATTGCTGTGGCAGCTGTCCAGCTCCAGCTTGGTCTTTAGCCGCTGCACCCTGTTCTCCACACTGCGGAGGCGTCCTTGCAGACGTCGCAGCAGCAGTCGGCTGGCCCGTGTTCTGCACAAAAAATATCAATAAATTGCACATGTGTCCCACATAAGCCTCACGCAGATCCCATATACATTCCACGTACATCATCTGTACATCTTATGTATCCCACTACCATCACACATAGATCGCCCACATATCCCACACGCATCGCATATAACGTACATCCAAAGAACGTTCACACCACATTCCATATACTTTCCACGTACATCATCTGTACGTCTCACGTATCCCACTGTGCATCCCACGTACATTGAACATTCCACGTGAATGAAACGTACATACCAAGAACTTCCATCCAACATCGCGCGTACATCCCTTGTACATCCCCGGATAGTTTCAGACAGACAGACGTGACTCATGTGAAATGTGTATGCTAAAAAATATTTAAGATACTCTGTTCACGGTGTGGAAAAGAGTATATTCGTTAAGAGTGAACTTGGAATATTGATGTGTATATCGTTTTATGCGTGGTCATCGGGAAAACCGGAAAACAAGTCTAAAGACAGGAAGCTGGTTCAAACCGGAAACTGAGTGGCTCACACCACTTGCTCGTATTGATACCAACAGCAATCAACTTTCTGTGTTGACATTTTTATGGGTATTACGCAAACCTGTTCTGGATCTGACGAAACATCGTGTTTAACCCATTGGGGCCGAGTGCCTGGGATCGGAACTCGGTTAGCTGATCGGCCAGGTCGCGCAGATCGACAATATCATCGGCGCCGCTCCACTCGTCCTTGGCGGCGCCCGTGGGTCGTTTCTTGTTGCCACTGATGGGCATCAGCAGCTCCAGCACATCGTATTCCTCATTGATGACCAGCCGCGAGCTGCCGCTCAGTCGAAAGCTGATGTTGCGATTGGCGCCCGACTCGAAAATCAGATTGCCATCCTTGCTGATGATCTTGGGCCTGCAAGTGGATGCCAATTGAGATCGGGTAGTGGCCCAGTAGCAGGCGCTACTTACGAGTTGACAAACATGTGCACAGGGCACAGCAGGAACAGCAGAAGAAGCAGCTCCAGCTGCATCTGGACGTGTCCTAGGCGTCTAAGCATGCTTCACGCAAACTTTTGCACACATTCTCAGATCACAGAACAAAAATTCAACAAATATTTTTAATACAATGAATGCAGATCCTGCGACACGTTCACTTGGCTTCAATATGAATTAAACTCTGACAATATCGGCGCTCGCTGCCCGCGATGTCAGCTGCGGGGCGTTTCTGTGCCGCGCTGCAGCATGCCGCATGCCGCATGGTGTACGCCCACCAATGATAGCCGGAAATTGACACAGTAGTACGACAAGACGAATACCCTTTATTTTTCTTTTGCTTAAAAGGTACACATTTATTTCAGAGCAGATTTCTCTAATAATATCTGGTATAGTAGCACAAACACATTCATAAATATGTATATATATATATATATATATATAAATATATATATTGTTGGTTCATACACTATAATATAGGAGTTTAATGTATGGGTGCTTTGCCTATGCTTAGTTCAAGTGTAAAATTATGGAGTTGAGTGTTTGGTTGCCATTCCCCCACGTACCTCGTACCGATCGACGCCTATCAATATGCTCTTTCCCAAATTATCTTAATCTTAGGTTAAACTAGCTAAAATGCCGTTAGTTAAACGGATCTCAAGCTAAATGTTTATATAATACACATTTAAACATTTATATCAGTTACTCTTCAGTTATTATTAAATCACATCAATTATTTAACAAATGATTAAAAGTATTTCAAAATTAATAGAAATTTGGTATTTATTTGATATAATTTTTTTTTTTTGTTTTCAAGTATTTCAAGTTGCATATAAAAAAAAAAAAAAGAGCAATTTATTTCTTGAGTATTTTTGTTTACTACATTTGTAAGTTAAGCAGCATTGGAAAGAGCATAGAAGCTTCGGTGTGTGCCGAAATTGTAGCATTTTATAAAACTTTTACAAATAAATTTCTAAATAACAGAACAGATTCTATGTATAAACGGTTGTGTGTGTGTGAGTGAGTGTGTGTGTGATTGTGTGTGGTCATAACTGTTGCTCGTGTCTTTGGATTGAATTAAGTACAGATAGTACAGACTCTATTATAAATCGGGTGCTGAGGACGCTACAAGTCGTGTCCAAAAGTCTATTTGGTGTTTACGTTTACAAATGCACAAGAAATATACTTGTTTTAATATATATATATACATATATATGTCTACGACAAACTAACTAACCAAGAATATGCCCAAAACCATATATACATGATTGGAACTCAAGAGCTGCATTGAAAAGGTAAAAACTGAAGTGAAGATCCGATTTTTGGTTATCATTTACATTTACATTGTGTTAAGATTTTGGCATTGGGTAATATTTAAGAAGCTACATTCACTGGATTAGCTGACAGACAGCTGAGTGTCCCAGTATAATCTCATATATATATATATATAAAAGGTTAGAAGACCAAACTATTTTGTGATATATGAGTGTGCACACTTGGCAACATAACATGTATACAGTGAATTATTTGAATATATATATATATATATATATATATATATATATATATATATATATATATATATATAGAATCACAATAATGAAATGACTTGCGTTAAGAGTTAAAGTACACATAAAGGTAACTATTTGAAGTTATGTGCAGACAGGTCGATATTACTAAATATACATTTGTTTATATATATGCTTGCACATTTGCAATTTCTCAAATTGGAAAGTTCTCAATTGGACCTGCCTGAATAACACTTCTTCCTTCTCCTCAAGCTATACAACTCTAATTACAGTAGGCAACAAACACGTACACAATAAATAAATTAATTATTAAAAATATATATAGTTTATAATTGAACTTTTTGCTTAGGTTGACTGTGCTACACCTTTCTTCTCTATCTTGCTTACTATTCCTCTATTCCTCTCTCTCTCTCTCTTTCTCTGTCTCTATCTCTTTCTCTGCTATGTGGCCTGTTGTCGTTTGCTTGCCTATGGCACAGCTCTGAATAAGTATAGAACCAGCTTTTTAAGTTGTATTGCAGCCTCCAAATGCATTGTTGCGGGTTCTTCAGTTTGCTGTGGGCGTGGCCTTGATTAAATTAGCCTTTGTCCGCCTTATGTGCTCCGACTTGTGATAGAGAAACTTGTAGCTAGGCTGCTTCTCCGTGTACTGTGCAAACATATCTAGAGCAACATATACAAAATGAATTAATGAAATCGTTAAAACTAAATAAAAGACCAAGACCAACCGAAGGAGACGTGGCCAACATTGGCGGTGTCCAGCGCAAAGAAAAGTGCCTGAGCCTTTTTCTCGTTCAGCTTGTCGCCGCCGTGCCGCAACAAACGCGTGAAGCTCTCCCTGTCTATCTGTTGGCTCGATTCACTGTACAGCTATAATAGAAAATACAGAAGGATTACAAAGTAACAGAGGGATTATAAAGCAGACTTACTTTAATCAGAGCGCGCAGAAACGTTATAACGTCGCTGTTCTTCAATTTACAAAACAGCGAGCAGAGCAGAAAACTTTTCAGACTCACTGTACCCTTGCGACGCTATATTCAAATACAGAGAATAAGTGCAAATGGTTTTTATCGCAAGCACATGAAATTATTTGGGCTTTAACGCTTACATGATCGAGTAGCGCAAAAAGCTTGTGCAGATTTGGGTTCTTGAGATCCACTTGGAGGAGTTCGGCAAATGTGATAATGTCCAGTTTGTCTGTGTTGGTAAGCTTCAGATACATCTCGCAGAGTTCCATGTCGCGCTGCGAATCCAAGAGGTCAAGAGTATCGAGGGTGCGTTCAATTTCCACAATGTCACCAGGAAATGGAATTTTCATTTCACGAGCACGACTCATAACGATGACATCCTCAAATGAGTAGTCGGACGTGGGCACTCCCAATGCCCTACAAGATATTAAAATGGTTGAATTAGCACGAACGATCGATCAATCTAACTGCTTGCCAGCAATCGGACAGAACTCACTTGGCCATTACTTCTCGTACATTGTTCGCATAGAGATTGGCATCGGCCACCTCGGCCGGGGAAGGCGTGTAGACGGGAAGGTATTCGATCTCACAGCGATTATAAAACTGTGTCATTGTTAGCCAAAGCAGACGCAGGCTGTGCACAAAGCAAAAACAAAACGTTAGCATGAGCTCGAAATTATGCTGCTGTTATCAACACTTACACGCCCGGCCCATCCCAGGTCCAGGTGAAGGTGTCATACTTGTTGGGATAGCGGAGCAGAACTGGTTGTACGGGCACGCCCGGATAGAAGGCGCCGGGCTTGAATTTGATAAGTGCCGTGCGATTTGTGCATGTACCCTCGGAAAAGATGACCACCTGAGGCCAGTCATCGCTGGAGCGCGCACGATCAACAATATGTCGTATGGTGTTCTGCCTAGAGTTGGGATCTTCGCGCTGCACATAAATGGGCTGAGCATAATTAATGATGCGCCCCAGCAGCGGTATATCTGCCGTCTCGCGCTTGGCCACGATCGACGGTGGATGTCCGGAGACCACCAAAATGGAATCAACGTAGGAAGAGTGTGGCGCCACAACCAAAATGGGCGCCTCCTTGGCGCTGGCCGGTGTGCCCTTCATTTCGATATAGAGAAACGAGCCGGATGTGTACACCATTCGCATGGCACGCGCCGTCCAGTACTGCATATGTCTGCAAGTGACATAACAATGTTCAATCTGTATATGAATGTGTATATCGATTGTGTCTTACCTGCGCCAGCCAGAGAGCGGCTTTGCCTGCAGCTCCTCCATAGAGATGCCATAGAGGCCAATGCAGGCGAACATCCAGGCCGATAACAGCGACAAGATGCAGCCCACCACGCGTATGGGAAGCAGCAGCACGGTCAGCACATAGATCTGAAATTGATAACAGTAATCAGAGCGTTTCCAAACAACGTTCCCTTTCCGCTCGCGCTTATCGGGCCGCATGGCGTAACAAAGTACACTAAGGTTGGGCAATATTTGCTGAACTTTGAAATGGCCAGCCAGCCAGCCACTTAAACAATCTTAAATGAAATTAAATGGATTTTTGCCACTTTGTGACGTGTACGCTAAAGTTCAATATTCGGTTCTGTTAACACTCAATTCGGTTCGGGTTCCGGATTGTGAATACTTCCAAATCGACCAAATGCCCAACTGGACGGCTTATGGTTTCGTCAATAGGCGAGCAATTCGGTTCAATTTGGGATTTGCTTTGATGAAATAATCAAAGTTTTACAAATCTCAAGCGGTTTTTCATTTAATGCTAATCTTTTGATTGAGTAGGGAATACTCTGAAGCCTTTTCTTCCAACACCAAGTTTGCTGACTCTAGCTCTTAATATTTGCCAAAATTGCTCAAAAAACACGATTTCGAGATCGATTACTTGGAAACGGAGCAAGTTATCGAATATCGGCAACAAACTCGATCTGCGCAGGCACTAGGAGCACCTGCATCTTTAAGTCTCTAGCTCCTAAAGGTTCTGAGATTCTTGCGTTCCTACAGACGGACGGACAGACAGACGGGCATGGCTAGATCGACTCGACTGCTGATGCTGATCAAGAATTTATATATATATATATACTTTATGGGGGCGGAGATGCTTTCTTTTGCCTGTCACATACATAAATACATAATACCCTTTTTACCCGGTTTGAATAGATGCAGGGTATAAAACTTCGATCAATTTTCTGTTCGTATTCATAGTTTTATTTGTTTGGAACATTAAATAGAGCGGAAATGAAATAGTTAAAGATTGAGAAATTGTTAAAGATATTTCTCTGTTTTCTTTTTTCAAGTGCATTAGCAATAGATAAAGGGCATATATAGTTGCTGATCAAATGCGGATCGCAAAAGGACATGTGAAAATCATTTCTGAAACAACAAAAACAAGTCGGCAACTTGCCCAAATTAATGCCAATACATAGGCACAGCTGTGTGTGTGTGTGTGTGTGTGTGTGTGTGTGTGTGTGTGTGTGCAATTCTGCAGGTGTCTGCGAGTGAGTGTATAAATAAGCATGTCATTAACAGAGCACGACTCGAATAGTGCGAATAGTGCGAATGTGGTGCGAATGGTGACCCCCCCTTGACCTTGATTTAACGATCAAGGCAAGTGGAACGAACGAGCTCTAATAACTTGTTTCAACGGCAGATGAGCTTGATGCGGCAATATGCAAACGTATTAGCATATATGCATATTTATCATTTTAATAATGGATGTCAAATTCGTGGGTCAAATTGGCTGACTGTGAGGTCACTTTGGCACTTCCTCCCATGTCTATGTCCAAATGTGTCATACTAGAAACTTGCTCAACGCATATGCACTTTGGACTCTGACATATTCGGCGATAAGCGTTGCGATCGCCTTTCTTGATATACTATGTACACTAATTATTCATAGAGTTTTTTTTTTTTTTGCAAATAAACAGTGCTCGTTGTGAACTTGCTTAAATTGAGGTGTGGCCATTAATTGGTTGATTAGAGTTATGAAAATCTCAGTGAAACAAATCAATTTGTAAATTACAATTGCCCGTTGTAGCGAAACTATTGCGAACCCTAAATATTTTCGCCTACACGATGCGGGCTAGATTTGATTTTGGCGCCATAGCTGGGCATTTGACAATACAAAGTTCTTTGAACTTTCTCTCAAAAGTGTTCCGTTTTGAGGCAGCAATTTGGGTTAAAGAAACTCATGTGAGCCGTAGTTCGACCTGGTTCGGTTCAAACATCTTTTTGAAGCCTTGAAATAGCCACAAAGTATATAAAACAAATATCTCATTGAATCTCAGTTTGCAAAATATCGCAACGATCATGTGTTTAAACATTTCGAGCCAATCAGAAGCCAGCGCAGCATATTATTAATTCACAATAGTGAAATCATCTGTGACTAATGTGAATCCCCCGCGTCTCTTTCTGCTAACCGAACGGTAAACAGGGTATTTTATTGTTGTTGTTGTTGTTCTAGTTGCAACTAGAGATAATAGAGTGGAAATGGCGTGGGGAAGGGGGGGCGTGTAGGCGTGTAATTAGTCAGACGATAACAAATATAGGAAAACGGGAAAAGGGAAACGTGCGAAAAACGTTTTCGTCTATTTAAATCTGAATCTATAAATATACATGTATATAGATAGAGACAGATTGATTGATTGATTGATTGACAGACTGACTGATTGGTAATCGAGCCGGCTTTTAAATTATTTACAAAGTTCTGTTCTTGTTTTTACGTTACTTCAAACTGATTTTCAAAGCAACTCATGAAAAATTGATGAGTACATGTTCGAAAATGAACGGCTACGACTTTTTTCGAGCTTTTGCTTGCATGAAAAAACAAAGAAAACAATTGCATATTTTATTAGCAGGAAGAGAACTTTTTTCGCTTCCGGTCAGCTGCCAGCCAAAAATAATAGACACGTGAATCCGTTTGTGATAACTATCGGGAAAACGAGACACGTACCCATCTCTAATCGGGCAGAAGCACAAGGTGTGCTTTGGCCACGAACAACAACATCAAGTAACGGCTACAACGAACGACCCAAAGAGCCGGCAACGAAAGCAAAAACCAACAACAACAACAATAACAACAACAACAGCAGCAGCAGCAAAAAGACGACAACAAGAAAATCGTACGATTTTCGCTGCTTTTGTTTCTTCACAGCTAATTCGCTGCGGCGCTTTCGGCGCTGACGTAAACAGCGACGCTGGCGCCGGCATCGCGAAACTATGGACCGTACAAAGGAATATCGATAATGCAAAACGTGCTGTTATCGACATCCTCGATGGCTCAAGTGCAATGAGGCATACATATGCAAATGTAAGTGTGTATGTGTATGTGTATGTGTGCATATAGAGCGTTGCACTTGAAATGTCTGCAGGTGTGTGTGTGTGTGTGTGCGTGTGTGTCTCTAGACAAAGACAACAACAATAATAGAAACAATATCAATAGCTATTCAGAACGAGCATTGGTTTTGCGCCCCTCCAACTGCCACCCCCCCCTGATTGGATCTCTTCCACAGCCCACGCAGCGAGACGTCAGCTGTGCTTGAGCTGTTTTGCATGAATGAACGCGAAGGCGAAGGCGACGGCGAGGGCATTGGTATCTGGGTGCGGATGCGGGTAAACGGGTAAACGGGTAAACCAAAGAGCTCACCTTGGCCACCTCAATGTGACTGTCGATTTCTATGCGATGCACGAACGGATTGATGTAGCTGTAACCCTTTGATGCCCAGGTGTCCTCCTCGGAGTCGCGCTTGGACATGTTGCTGCTGATGCTGATGCTATTGTTGGGCAACGCGCTGCTGCTGCTGCCGCTGCTGCTTCTGCTTCTGCTACTTCGAGTGCTGCTGTTGTTGTCGTTGTCATTTTCCAGGCCATCCCCATCGTTCGATGCGCGTGCATCGTGCGGAGAGCGACGTCGTTTAATTGAGGAAGTTGTCATTGCTTACACGTACATTCACTTGCTAATAACACTTGCAAAATATTATTGTTCAACTTTTCTTAGGCTGGTGGCTTTGGTGTGTGGCGCAAAAAAAAAACAACAACCAGTATGTCCCGCTCTACCGATTCTTTTTTGCGTTGCCAGCAAACTGAAGTGCTGGCTAACTAGCTAAACAGTGTTGGGCACGTTAATTATATCGATGTTATAGCTATTGTCGATAGCTCGATAGTTATTGTTAGCACGTTGCCACACTGCGCCAGCTGAACAAATTAAACAGGTCTGGCAGCACTTCAGCCGTTGCGACATTTAAAATTTGATTTAATTTTAAAATTCCCAATGGATTTCATTTTTAAAAGACTGGTCTTACTAGTGCTGTGCTAACATATGCAGGTGTAAGGGGCATGCATATACTGTGTTTCCCGTTTAGTGCCCTCCGCCTCATTTTAATCACATGTCTGACCCGGCAGTTCACGGTCTTGCCAAGCCTGGCGACTAAGTCGACGCACATGTGCCCGAAACGTGCTGTCGAAATTGAAATCTTTTCAAGGCGGCTGCCATGCGGTCGAAATACTCGGATTATGTGTGGCACATAATTATGTATAAGTACACACATATGTATGTACATATGTACATACATATGTGCATTTGAGCAAGGCATGTTTGAAGTGCTGGCTGCTTTTCAAAAAATGTGAACCAACCAGTTTCTGTTATACATGCATATGTACATACATATGTATGAATGTGGTTCATAGAGACATATCTGAGATATCGCATGCTAAACGGGTTTCCTCTCTTTCTGTTTTTAGATTAATATACGCGCTATTATTTGATGGTGGCTTTGTGGGCTGAAGGGCACAGCTGGTGCCTCATCGCAAAACTGTTACTGTTATACGCGCGCGTGCATTTGACCTTGCTGAAGTTTAAAGGCTGATGCAATCGGAGTTTGGGGCGATAAGCCGACAAATTCTTCTACATACATACATATGTATGTATGTGTGCATGTGTGCACATACATGTGCTGACATGTTAGCGCAAGTGCTCGGCAACTGGTTTTGCCAAAATGATGAGCAACTTATCGTAATACTAATCAGTCAAAATAACATGGCCACGCCCATTTATAATTTTGCTCAGAAATTGGCGAAATTCGCATTCAAGGCTGTATTTACCGTTTTAGCACGGTCCATGGAACTGTATTATACATACATATATATACATTGTACATATGTGCGCATGTATGTATGTATGTATGTATGTATGTGCACATGTATTTCGAAAATTTCTGATAGTTGCCTGTGTTGTTTTTTGTTTTGTTTTTTAATTTGTTAATGATTATCATTGTGGCCCGGCAGTGTTTTTTATTTTATTTTAGCCATTTTTTTGCAGCCCGACGGGCTGCGGGCTGCGTGGGCGACAGCCGCAGCAGCGTCACGTGAAATGATTTCAAGTTGCCAAAAATCTGAATTTTATAATTAATGTCTTTTGCGTTGAGATCGAAGGCCTTTTGGCCAATGGGCCACAAGGCGTATACGCAACGTTCAAAAAATTCCGTTAACTGCCGCTGCGTTGACCCCTGGATTGTGCGAGCTGCTGTTCGAGTTTCACAAAACTCGGCACTTTCGACGTCATCATCATTGACGTCACAGAAGGCTCCGCGCGTGGCCCCAAACCCAAAAAAAAAAAAAACAATTGTAGTAAGAGAGCGCGCACGATACAAAAATCAATTATTCTGTATGTACACCACACACACACACACACGCACGCACACACACACAAGCAAGCAAGCGTCAGCGATGAGCAAGCGCAGAGCAGCGCGACCAACGTCACACAAACACATGCACAAATGCGTGTAGGTACATGTACATATATATATATATATAAATATATATATGTATGTGTGTATATAACGGGGCGAGCCCCCAAATCTGGATTCCCAAATGCGGACAACAAATAACCACATACATATGTATGTACATGTATGTACGGCCGCTGCTGCAGCGCGTTGTAAGCTGACGTCGCAATATTGAAATGAACAAGGAAAAAAAAAAGGCTAATTTTAGACTTCTACGATGGATTTAAAGTGGTTCGCGGAACTTTGGATTTTTTGTTCAGCGTTCACATTCAAGCCTTTGCTTTAGGCCACGCATTCAATATCCACTTGACACTCGAACTGGTTTTTCTGAACAGAAACAGAGTTTCGTCACATTTTGAAATAACCGTTACAGCTGCATTTTGTGCACTCAACTTGCACTCAAGAGCGTCGCAGTCGCTGCTCTCTCTTCTTTTAGATCAGAATCTGAAACGCTGAATCATTGTGCATAGGCACACACATTATGGCGCGGGGGTGGATCTGCCTCACACATACATGCATACAAATAACTGATTAGAATGCTTGGCATGTGTGTGTATGTACATACATATATGTGTTTGAATGTATTTATCTCGTGCAAAGAAATTACATTATTATTTGACCCTACTTGCCCCATGTTGGCAAACGTGGGCATGCCCAGCCCCTGTACAGTCGTAGACGACGCCCACAAATATAAAGGCGGCGCTTGCTGCGTTTTGTTTTTCATTTTTTTCTAAGCAATTTCCGTTAGCCAGATAAGAGCAAACCAGTTGTATTTGTATTTGAAAAGATAAACATTTCAACAATTTTGCTAGTTGTTTCGCAGCAGCAACATAAGAGTTACATAGTATATACATACATACATATAGCTCTTAGTTCTCTTTATCGTGGCAATTGTTAAGCCGCTAGCTCTAAAAATAAAATTTTCCATTCCTATCCTAAGTGATGTAGTGATAAGTTTATTTTCTTGTCTATAACCTTTGTACACCTTGCACACATTGTTATTCTCTTATGTGCAATGCAACATACGCACATGCACGCATATCTGTATGTACGTGTGCATGCATACATATGTACATGTCTACATGTGTGTGCATGTGCAATTTCGCATGCAACACATTCGATCTCAGAAGGCGTGGCGCACATGATCACAAGGCGGTCGCGTCATTGCTGTTGTTGCATCCCGTGACAGAGAAAATGCCGAAATATTGGCAGCGTCAGATGCAATAGCAAACATTCAACTTTGGGCAGACGAGCCTCTTTGGACAACAACAACAACAACAACAACGACAGCACCAATACACAGTCATGCATATTTTTATGCATGTACAATTCATACACATGTATGTATGTGTGCATGTGAGCATGTGTTTTAGCTAAGTACAAATGTGTCATACACGAGTCTTTGAAATCAAAGAGCAACAAACCAATAATAATTATAATGAGTATAACAACTTCCTTAGAACTGGGTGAGTGAACGAACGACCGCGTCAAGTGAGCGTCGTGAGGTTCGCGCGTGTGCTGAGAAATATGTACATATGTATGTATGTATGTATGTACAAATGTATGTTTGATGAGAACGGAAGCCAGGGAGAGAAGCGTTGGCTGGAGTTGCAAATACAAACACATTGTCAGTCGGTCAGGCGATGCGTTCAACTGTTGTTGAAACGCGCACGTCGACAACGGCACGTAAAATACACCTAGATTCACACCATGCATGTGTATATATGTGTACGTATGTGTGCATACACACACACACACACACACACACATGTGTGCATACAAGCATATGCAGTGGCGGGTGAGACTAACACCAGCAACAAAATGCGAGACGAGCCCCACGAACAGCAAAAGCAGGCAGCGACCATCAACAGCAAATTCCATACCGAACATACATACACTTTACTACTCACGTATGCATGTATGTATGTATGTATGTATATACATATACATTTAAGGAGAAGACAAAGAGAGCCTGGTGTGAACGGCAGCGACAGCTATGCAAACTTGTTCCCCATATGTAAGCTGAGCATAAACTGTTATACGGCAACAGCAGTAGCAGAAAACCCAACAGAAAATATCCACAAAAGTCACAGAAAGCTTTGAAAAAGCAACCGGTCTATAACGACATTTGAATAACCTACAATACAATTGTTGCGGAATGTGTTATACATATGTACATAAATATGTATGTGCATACGCAGCTGTTTTAATAGCAGTTTTAAGTCGTGCAGTTACCAAATAGCAATAACGATAGGGCAGGCCGCTCATACATGTACATGTATGTATTTATTGTTTAGAGTATTTGTATTTTGCCTAAAAAGCCGCCTGTGTAGTGTGCAATGGCTTGCTGACGATGGCAAAAAGGCAGTGGCAGCACCCAACACTCATAGCACACCTGACCGCTCTCGCGTCTCACCGTCTCCCGCTCTTAAGCACTGTTGGCCTGTGAGAGCAGTGGTGACGCTGCTGCTTCTGCCCGCGTCGCTACCCGCCCCTACTACGTACAATAGTCATTCATGAGGCGCGTAATCACTACATGTGCTCTCTCGCTCTCTATTTGTATGCGATTGACGCTAACTCTTGCGCTCTGGCTCTCTTTCGATATGCACACTAATGTACATGATATTGTATCTTGAACGCAGGCCCAGCACAGAAACGGCCGCCCTCTCCAATACGAATTTTCAATTTTGACCTTCAAGGTTCCTTCAAAGTACACTACGTACACACGACACACACACGCACACAAGCAAACAACGCACAGAGACGCTGACGTTGACGGCGGCAGCGCGCGCTCTGCGTCGGCAGCGCGCCAGTGTCAAGCAACTGGCGAAGCTCCACGGAGAATAATTCCGTAACAAACGTTTCACAGCAGCGGACGCGTGCAGCGGACAAAAATAAAACGGCCGAGACAAAAGCAAATGGTATATGAGAAAAGAAGCAGCGCAAAGTTAACTAAAAGCGAAAATCGGCAAAAATAATACAACAACAAAAAATAACTCAAAAAAAAAAAAAAAACAAAGCAAACAAAGGTAAAAGACAATAAAAACGCACAAAACTAACAAACGAGGCGGCAAAAGACAGCAACCAAAAAAAAAGAAAAAACGCGCGTGAGGAAAACAGAAAAAAAAATAACAAGTTGCTGTAACAAATTATATATATATATATATATATATATAATTGTTTTTTTTTTTTTGGGTGCCAGTGCCTGTGACTGCCTGTCGGCAACTGCCAAACTAAAGAAACCGCAAGTGCAACTGCAACTGCAACGAAATGGACCAAGAGCAGCTGAATGGCGCGATGCGCAGCGTTTCTATAAATAGCAATGGACTAGCCACAAATCAGAATGGCCACAACGGCAACGATGAGACGGACAATGCGCGGGTTCTCGGCGGCGGAGGCGGCGGCGGCGGCATCAGCTTTGGCCTGAGCAGCGGCAACGCAGCGAGCAAAGCGACAAATGCGGCGACAAATGCGGCGACAAACGCGGCGACAAACGCGGCGACAGATGCAGCGACGGCGACGGAGACGGCGACGGCGACAGCGAATGCAAATGTAAACGCAATTCAAATACAAACATCGGCAGCTGGTGCGAGTGCAGCGGATAAAAAGAAAATGGTGCACGAGTTATGTCAGCAGCTGTTGCTAACCGATGAGCAGGTGCAGGAGCTGTGCTATCGCATATTGCACGAGGTGAGGCGCGGCCTGGCCAAGGATACGCATCCGAAGGCGAATGTCAAATGCTTCGTTACGTACGTACAGGATCTGCCCAATGGCAATGAGCGCGGCAAGTTCCTGGCCCTAGATTTGGGCGGCACCAATTTCCGTGTACTGCTCATCCATCTGCAGGAGAACAATGACTTCCAAATGGAGTCGCGCATCTATGCGATACCGCAGCACATTATGATCGGATCCGGACTGCAGCTGTTCGATCATATTGCCGAATGTTTGTCCAATTTTATGGCCGAGCATAATGTCTATTCGGAACGTTTGCCGCTCGGCTTTACGTTCTCGTTTCCGTTGCGCCAGCTGGGCCTGACCAAGGGCCTGCTCGAGACATGGACGAAGGGTTTCGATTGTGCCGGCGTTGTCAACGAGGATGTTGTCCAGCTGCTCAAGGATGCGATCGCAAGGCGCGGCGATGTACAAATCGATGTTTGTGCCATACTCAACGATACGACGGGCACATTGATGAGCTGCGCCTGGAAGAATCACAATTGCAAGATCGGCCTAATTGTTGGCACCGGCTCGAATGCCTGCTATGTGGAGAAGGTGGACGAGGCTGAGCTCTTTGATATGCGCGATAATCGCAAACCGCACGTCCTTATCAATACGGAATGGGGGGCATTCGGTGACAATGGTGCACTCGATTTTGTGCGCACCGAATTCGACAAGGACATCGATAGCCACAGCATCAATCCCGGCAAGCAGACGTTCGAGAAAATGATCTCGGGCATGTATATGGGCGAGCTGGTGCGTCTCGTCCTGGCCAAAATGACCCAGGCGGGCATACTGTTCAATGGCCAGGGCTCGGAGGTGCTGTTCACGCGCGGACTCTTCTTTACCAAATACGTGAGCGAGATCGAGGCCGATGAGCCCGGCACATACACCAATTGCCGTCTCGTATTGGAGGAGCTGGGCCTATCCAATGCCACCGATGGCGATTGCGCCAATGTGCGCTACATCTGTGAGTGCGTCTCGAAGCGGGCCGCACATCTCGTCTCGGCGGGCATTGCCACGCTGATCAACAAGATGGATGAGCCGCATGTGACTGTCGGCGTTGATGGCAGCGTCTATCGTTTCCATCCCAAGTTCCATAATCTGATGGTCGAGAAGATAACGCAGCTGATCAAGCCCGGCATTAGCTTTGATCTGATGCTATCCGAGGATGGGTCCGGGCGAGGCGCGGCGCTCGTTGCGGCCGTTGCCTGTCGAGAGGATATACTCAATAGCAAGTAAACGATTGGCAAGCGCAAAAGCAAAAGCAAAAGCAAACGCAATCGCAATCGTAATTGTAATTGTAATTGTAATTGTAATTGTAATCGTTATCGGAATCGTAATCGTAATCGGAATCAGCGTCGCAGTTGCTAACGAAGCAAACCTAATCAATTCAATTCGAATTCAAACCAGGTTCGACTTCGAAAATTCTTAAGGCGAAAATCAGTTAGTTTCCTTTTGTCGCCGCTGCGGAGCCGCCAATCGCCATCCCCCTCCCCCTCCCTCCCCCATACCACCAACATCCTCCAGGTAGCGCCAAAGCGGGGCGCTTCTTAGTATTTAAATTAGGCAACATCTTAGAAAAAAGTTGAGCTAAAAAAAAACAACAACAACAACAATTAATAACGGAATGTGTATGCTTCGGCAATTGTTACTTTTCTTTTCATTTCATTTCCTTTCGTTTTTTTTTCTATTCTTTTCACTTGTTCGTTTTATAATCTATCTCTTTCTATCAAGCTATCTCTTAATTAAATAAATTATTTGTATGTCTAATTTATTTGGTTAAATTATCTATTCTCGATTTTGTAAAAAAAAAAAAAAAACAACAATTGTTAATATATTTTACACACACACACACACACACACACACATACACTTATACGCATGTTGATACATATAAGATATATGATTTAATATATCAGGCAATTTCTTATTAAAACGGCAAACAATTTAAATGAATTTTTCGATTGCGATTTGTCAAAATCCACATAATTAAAGCGCTTAAGAGAAACGAAACAGCCGAACAAAAGAGAATCAAGAGAGCCAGGCTGGCGAATCGTGTAGCGCGCTTTCATGCGCCGCCAAAAGTGTTATACTGTGCTACTGTGCTACAAGCATCATCAGCATATCCCAAGCCAGGACAAGACAGTCGCACATTGTTAACAAAAAAATACTAAAAACAAAAACAAAAACAAAAACAAAAACAAAAAAAAAGCTAAAACACAGCAAGCAATGTGTTTTATAAGTGTAAAATGTTTATAGCATATATATTATGAAGCGTTATATGATAATACAGCTTATTAGCCTCTATATTGATTATAATCATGTATTCTTTGCTTTCTTTAGAAACACATATATATATATGTATATATATATATATATATTTTTTTTTTTTTTTGTTATTAACTTTTAAGCAGCTAAACAATTGTTTTATATTGTTTCTATATACTAGCATGTGCACACACATATATATATATATATATGTATGTGCAGATGCGAGCTATATGCCTAGTTTAGTGCTTAATTATTATGTAGTTTTAAATGTTATTCACGAAGAGAACAGGTCCCCCATAAAGAGTCCTATGTATATACAGGACAACAACCTTACTTATATGTGTACGCAAAAAGAGAATGCAAAAAATAAGAAACGACACAAAAATGAAAAAAGATACAAAAAAAAAAGGAACACAAATAAAATATGAACACATTTGATCATTTTCCTGCTAGCTGCAAGCGTGATTTTCTTTTCTCATTTTTTTTTTTTTAATTCTTTTTCTCAGTTGGTATTTTATTTTTCGTTTGTTTCTTCACATTCTGTTTTGGTATTTTAAGGCGTGTTTTTGGCAACTGCGCGCAGGCGACGCATTGCATGTTGAACAAAAATATATAAATATTTCAAAGAAAAAAAAAAAAAAAAAGGCGAAGAAGAAATATCAAAGAATATAACCAACATTTTTTTTGCCATGTATTTTTAATAAGTCTAGCCAAGCAACTGTTTGTTGAGAAACAAAAAGAAAATGAAACAAAAAAAAAAAAGACGATGAAACAAATTAAGCCTAAACAAATACTAAAAAGTGTTACTATTTTTCATAAAAATAAAGCTAAAGACAAAACGAAGCCATGACAAATTCAAAATCCAGATAAAAAACGTTTGAAACTTAATCCAAAATGCGCCGCAGGCTGAAAACTGCAGCTGTATTGAGGTTTATGTTAAGCTACACACACGCACACACACACACACACACACACAGTGGCTCAGAGTATGTCAGCTGACAGAATAAAGGCTAGAAGCGACAGCTGATTAAACAATCGAACAAACAATATGAAATGATTTCAAAACAAAACCACAATAAAAACAATTCAATGAAAAAGCTGAGAAACAAGCAAACGAAAACATTTGTGTCTTCTTCGCAGACCTGCTCGCTGACATGTCTTGCACAGCGTCAGCGTGGGTTTGCTCTTGCAACGTCTCAGCCCCTTGTCGAGGACACGTCTTGCAGGGCAGACTACTGGTAGACGACAATGTCACGTGAAGATCACATGATGCAACCCCGTATAACAGTTATGTAAGTCCCATTGGCCGCTTTTGTGATTCGAAATTGCCCAGAACTGAATTTCTATAGAGGCCATTGTCAATTGATGAGCTGCGTCTCGCCTCGTCTCGCCTCGTCTCGTTCCGCTTCATCGATACCAATTGACTGGAATATATAGAAAATTAAACACCATCAATGTCGGCTAAGTCGCAAGTCGAGTCTGGCCCAAATTAAGTTGCGAATGAAAATAATTCAATTCGTAGCGTTTGACGCATTTGAATTGCAGCCAGTTAAAGCGCCGCAAACAAACATTGATCGAATCGACATTCCAGTGTGAGGGGGGGGGGGGGGGGGGAAGGGGTAGCAGCGACGCTCAACAAGTTACGAACGTAATCCCCCGCCCCTGCAGCCGCACGGTTTATGTTCAAGCCAAGAGCATTTATTACGAGACGCTGCTCAAATAGATTGATTTCTCTTCTGTTGTGTTCATACCCTTACAGAGTGGGGTATACTCCACTTTGTCACGTGCACTGTGCAACGCATAGAAGAAGAACGCATAGAGTACAGTCGACTCGAGTCAAATCTGGCTGAACAATGTTCCGTGTTTGTCAAGATAAATATCTTTTATAAATAGATTGTGTCGCTGTGTCGGCAAGGGTATTTCAAGTGCGGCGTGCCTCCAGACATTTGCACTTTTCCGTTTTCTAATGAAAATCTTTGAGTTGGGAACTTTCGCAAGTTGCGCGAAAGTTGTTTTTTTTTTTCGAATTGCCAGCCACATGTAAATTCCCCTGACCCAGACTGACAGACCCAATCCCCAGTCTTGTTATATATCTACACACACACACACACACACACACATATGTATATAGGTATGTATGTTTGTGTTGCGCAGTGTATAGAATGCATTGCCCAGCTCACGTTTCAAAGGCCTGGCGATTCATTTAAATATCAACGCAATAAAAACTCAAATGCAAATTTGAATGCGACGACTTCCACTTGGATGTGCCTCGATGTTGAGGCACGGCTAGTTTTGCTTGGGGCGCAACTTGTGACCCGTTCACATTTTTTATTCTCTCTCCATTATTTATTTTATTTGATATGATTCTATTGTTTTATTATTTGGTTGCACGTTCTTGCAATTGGACAGATATCTATCTTTAGGTAAAAGTTAACGTGAACTACGCGGCGTATACTTGATGTCGTGATAATAATAATACTAATAATAATACTAATATTAATACTAATACTAATACTAATACTAATACTAATACTAATACTAATACTAATACTAATACTAATAATAATAATAATAATAATAATAATAATGATAACGATAATAATAATGATAATAATAATGATAATATTATAAAGGAATTCGATATGTGTGCACGGTATTGAAACATGTTCAAATATATCCCTATATCGTTGCGAATTTCAGCCCGAACATAAATATGCATGATCGCATATAGATATATATACATATACATAATCCATCTCGCGAGCATATGTATATGTATTTACACATATATCTGTATGTATATGTGTGTGTGTATAATCCTTGTCTGATCGCCTGCGTCAGTCCCCGGACAGTCCGAAGAAACTATTTATCAGCAAATACTTTGACATTTTTTGTGTTTTTTTTTTTTGGTTTTTTGATTTTTTGTTATGTGGCGATCTTGAGTTAATTTAGCGTCAATTTAGCAAATATGCTTTGTGTTTGTTTCGCACTTTGTTTTTGTGCGGCAATAAAAAGAAAGAAAGAAAGAACGAAACAAAAAAAAAAAATGTAAAAATAAATATCTAAATTTAAAGAGCAGTTTAGTTATATTTCTTGGGCATTTTCTTATTTTTACTGAGCATAGAATGAAAACAAAATACGCAATTAAAAATCGCTCGAGAAGAGCGAATGGCACAGCAGACAGACAGAGACAGAGACAGAGAGAGAGAGAGAGAGGGGGAGAGTAGAAAATGCAGATTCGAGTGGGTTTGCAAAGGGCGACAAAGCGACAGGCACGCCCACGCACAGTAATTATGGGCGAATACCCTACAATTGATGTTTTTGGTTGGGGTATTGACACAAAGCTGATTACAGGGTATTTGCCGATTATTGTGCTAACGTTTAAGACTTATTCCAGGTTTTAACCAAAACTGATTTGGGTTTTCGTACGTAACATTACGTATACGTACATTTTTTCAGTGCACACAACTCACACACATACACACATACATACTGCATATGTATGTATGTTAAATATTGTTGATGTTTCATATTGCAGAGTTGGCAACTCTGCCAGACAACGGCAGTGGTTGGCAATTCGCACTCTGCTGGTCTCTTGTTTTCTATGGCGCGCATATTCTCTCTCGTTCTTGCGCTCTCTGTTTATCTTCCCTTTCGTGCTGGTTATGCAAATGCCAAATGCAGCTTTTGAAAGTGTGAAAACGTAAACGAATACGAATCATGTGAGTGCCAGCCATAACGAAAACATTGCACTTAATCATATGGAAAAGTGTGCGCGAGCGATTGTTGTTGTTGTTGTTGTTGTTGTTGTTGTTGTTACAGTTATAGTTGCATGCCAAGCAATTGGCGGATGCAGACAACACAAATCGAGATACCGAGTCAATAGAGTAACAACAGCTAGCCGAAACTAATTAGAAACTATTAGTCGAATATGTCTGTATGTATGCATGTATGTGCATGCATATACATATGAACATGCATATATGCATATGTATATACATACATACATATGTTTCTAAAAACTTGTATTTATAGCGACAATATTTGTCGTGATTGTTGTCTTGTTCACCTGTTGCAGTCAAACAAAACTGTGTGTGTGTGTGTGTGTGAGGGAGAGAGAAGATGGAGGGCAAACGCATATGTATGTATGCCCAGTGGGCAATTTGCATTGTGAATTGCTTTCAATGTATGCCGATTTTTCAGCACGAAACGATCACGAGCCGTTATCTACTGCAATATGAAACGGTAAAACGCAAAAGCGAAAGCTTTCTTTAATAAATGCATAGATTTGTGTTAAAGAACCTTCCGGGGGCGGGCAGGAAAAATGCTCTTACATATATGTATGTATATGTGTGTATAGAAATAAAACTAAAGCGCTTTTCCGGAAGATCTGCTCCTTCTTCCGTTTACTGTGCTTTTGCCCAGCATTAATTGGCAATAGATTTTCCTATTAGCTTGAGCTTTTACAACTTCGATTAAGCATCGAGCGTGTAATCCCATACAAGCACTTATTAATTCATCTCTATAAATACATATTAATCGAAATTGGAATTGGCCCCCGGGATCAATAAGTGCTTAATATCGCTAAACTAGCTATAGATAGAGTGAACAGGGCTAATGCTCGTCGAACAAATTAATATCAACGATAGCAAAGCTTATCTCAAATTTCCAGTAGCTCACTTGGACTCTAATTGCAGCGCTATTGGCTATATGTATGTACATATGTACATTTATGTACATAGATCGATTGTATATTCGTGCGCACATATCTAGAAATGCAAATGTATATCTTGAGCCCAGATAGATTTCACAAACGCTGCAGTTTTCGATTTGCCACTGCGCAAAAAGCAAATGAAATAAAAAAAAAATTGAAAAAAAAAAATTGATGTGGGCTTTGAAGACAGATCTTTAAGACGAGGCTGGGCCGCAGCGAAAATGCTTTTAATCGGTGCATGACGCGAAAACAAACAAACAACAACAGCAGCACCAACAACAACAGCTATAATAACAGCTTCTAATTAACAGACTAACAGCAG